CCAAGCGATGACACACCCTTGCTTATTGACACCAAGCTTGCTTATTAACTCCGCGACAATCGACTGCTGCCGTCGACCGACCACATTCACAAAGCTTTACCACCAACTTACCTTAAGGAAGGCCCGTGAGACACGGGTACAAAGTGGGTATTGGTCAGTTCAGTGACTGACCACTATCTTTTGCTTTGGGAGTAAGTAAAACGTGTTTACGCCATATTTTGTGGAATCCATGAGATATCAGGATAGGAACGCGAAACAATTACTATTTCCTGAACTAAGATACGGATGATGGCCAAGAATGTATTGAGGTAATTATTTCAAGAGGGTCTACTCTAAAATTTGGTTATTTTCTGCCAAAGTTCCAACGCTGCCACAGAATCGCGAACGTCGGAGACACGTCTGCTACTGCAGCCTCCTTGACTCGATAGGATAAGCGGTCATCGAAGCTGACTGACTTGTGGCCAGGTTTAGCTTACTGTAAAGCGAATTTTACAAACATGTCAACCAGAGGTAAGTTTTTAAGTCTTTCTCTGCACTAAAAGGTCAAAGAACAAAGGAGGGATAAAATGCACAAAAATACAAACACAGCGTCATCGCCGTAGAGTACAAAGAATTTCAGTTGTGCTCCCTTCTGCCTCACAAAATGCATCTCCTGTTTATGCCGCATGAAGAACTCGACTTTGCTGGCGACCTCGTCAGAGTTTTTGTTCAAGTGATCGGTAAACATCTCGTAGAAACGAACGACATTCCTCTTATAACGCTCGTCGGTTAAAACTTGTCTAATGGCAAAGTCGACATCATCCGCAGTCATCGAATGACGATCAAGATGAAGTCCCAGTTCTTTGGAAACGATCAGCCTTGTGGTAACGTGTTGTTCGGCAAACAGTGGCAATGCTATGACGGGGACACGGGCACATATGGCTTCGGTGATGCTCTTCAGTCCCATATGACTTATGAACAGCACCGTCTTTGGGTGATTGAGAAGTGCTGTCTGTGGCAACCAGCTGGTAGTCATGATGTGTTTTGGGAATTTGACTGCCACCTTAGATTTGACACCGTACTGCCACACAAAGCGATATTCCGTCATATTGTCAAACACTGTCAATAGCGCTTGGAATATTCGCTGAGGCGCATTCTGCCAGCTTGCGTAATGGCCGAGAGCGATGATGATGGTTCCCTTCGAATGGCGATCGTCAACAAAGCTGACATATTCTGAGAGAAGTGGTTGGTATTTTGGGCAATGCAACTGAAATCGAAAAACGTCCTGGACTCGAGGGACGTTGAAGTCAAGGCCGAACGGCATAGCGCTGACACCAAATAAACTTGAACCATAAAAGTCTTCAATGTTCCCTGCATCATGGAAGTGAACACGATATGGAATAAGTTTAAAGACCAACTTAATTTTCAGATGCACCAATACCAGGCTAGCAAAATTGATCAACCTTTCCTGAAATGAGCTGATGCTTCGTAGCGAAACAGACCCCTGCATGTACGGGTACAGAGACCACCACAGCATGGTGCCTTTCGCGTTATGAACCGAAATGCAACTCTTGCTCGTGTCGAATACTGCGGACGGTCCACCGTTCAGTTTGGCCAGAATCATGCCGCATGGCGCGAAGCAACCGTCCACGACGATCAAGTCCCAAGAAGTGGCTGCCAGCTTCAAGAACTCTTTCCTACCAGAGTCGCTTGCAAACACATCGGCACAGGTTTCAGTGGCAGAGTACCAAGGTATGCTTATATGCCATGGGTGCGACGTGTCTTGCAGCCAAAAGTTGACCGTGCCATTGAGTGGCTCGACAAGCGACCGAAAAGTAATGAAAGAAATATTCTCATTTTTCTCCATCCCAAATGAATCAGTTCGAGATTCACTGAACTCAAGGAAGAATATTTCGTGTCCCTTCTGCGTCAGTTCTCTCGCCAATGGAACCATGGCTTCTTTGTGACTGGATAACAGGTGGCCTGGAATAAATAGGATCTTTCCCGCTTTGCATAAGAGTGCTAGAGGCATTGCAGTGCCTATGAAAACATGAAACCAGTTCATCTTTGAGAATGCAGACAGCGTCAAACAAGTCTTACCTAAAAGCAGAACATTTTTAGCCTTAAACAACCATCATCGAGCCTCACGCGCCATTGAAAAACTTGCTATAGCATTATCACTGTCTTCTGATTATTTATTTTCACGACTAGAAATTAAATTCAGCAAATTATCACTTAATTTTGGGCAGCGATGCCGTAGTTGCGAAAATGTCAACATTCTGGTTGAAGCTGGTCGCCTGATCGTAAAATCAACATCGAGACAGAATGACTGGACGCTGCGACACACCTGACAAGTTTTTCTAGATCTGCTGATCGTCTGTTATTCTGCTGTCTCGTGAAAACAGTCGAAAGTGTCTGAACCTCGAAGACCTGCTAGAAACTGCCAATAATGAAATGAGACGAAGTAAAACCCTTCCTAGCGGAGAGACGAAAAAGATGAACGCCGTTTACAAGATCGATTGCAACTGATGTGACAAGATCTACATCATGATAACTATAAGAAAATTGGTTAAAAGGGTAGAACATTCAACAGACAGTTTTGATGGATGGGAAAACGAAGTGTTCTAGCATCGTTTCCCACGCTTTCTACAAGGGACGCTAATTTTATCCGATGAGTGTCATCTCCGTTGGTAAGGAGCGAACAAACATCAAGCTATTAGTCAAAAACTCGCTACACATGTTGGCAAACAAAAGTCGACTGTGGAACGCATGTATGAGCTCGTAATGTTTGGGTGGCAGCTTCTAGCAATGGAACAATGGCTATTTTCGTGCAAACTCATTTCATAGTTTTGTTCTGTTTGCCATTTAATATAGCTCTGAATATGACGCTAGACTGAAGCCTGGAAAAGGGTCGGTAAGTAAAGGAATTTACGTCATTCGTTTCATATTTTTATTTTAAACCACGGATCGACAACTGATGAATGTCAACTGTTATCCAAGTAGGAAAGAAATCGATGGTCCTTTCACAGCTTTGAAAACTATGTAAGAATATCTGTTGTAAAACAACATGCGACAGACCTGGACAGGAAGTATGATAAGTGTGTATGCACAGGTGAAACTGAAGTGGAGTGCCTCAATGCCTCAATGAGACTGTACAAAAGAAAGTCAAATAAAGAGGAAACATCATCGTTTGCACAAAGATTAACTTGTAACTTCAGCACAATAACGTTGCGTTATATTTACACCATTGCAACTGTGATCAAGCTCACCATAATTGGAAAACACATTAATAAAACAGACTTCAATAACAATGGATTCAATGGTTCTAAGCTCAGAGAAAATATTGATGGTCATTTCTAATCTAACTGCCGACCTTTCAGCCAAACTACATTGGCCGTCCTCAGAGCATTCACATTGACTGGGACGTCAGCAGTTATAATAAACACTACCCTATGTCTATTCCTTCTGTCTATAGCCATTGGTTCGGTATGTTGTTCGAGAAAAATTGAGAAATCAGAATCGAATTGAGCTTCAGAAATCCGTGTAGCATAAAATAATTTTAACCAATCTTATGCAAGGTACTCGTGATGCTTTGAGTACTTCCTGAAGGAAGTTTGCAGGACAATGCTTAAGTTTAAAGTGATTAGCACTAAAGTTCTAAACGGCTTCTTAGCCTGCCTACGATGCAGTCGCAACAAAAACTGTTTTGTCGCTTATCTTCCGATCTGCAGCCGTGCCATCCACTCTGTCTATGGTCATCAATCTGGGCGATGCGATTATGTCGAACAAACCTGTAGTTCAAATCTTTGACCAAGTCAGTTTGAACAGTGCGCAAGCTGCAACTTTCCATTCTTGCTAGAAGCAGAAAACAAGTTCAGCGATCAAACAGACGCCAAATTCTTCTTTGGAACTGGTGAAGTTTCAGTCAGCCAAACAATATTGACCATCCTCAGGGCAAAAAAACAGATTATTTTCTGTCAAGAATCATTAAAATAGCGGTTTATTGAAGTGAGCTTCAAAATCACTTCTTGTTGTTAATTGCATAATATCAGTATCAGCGAATAAATTTTCCTTTGTCCGAATCATTTGTGAAGAGGATAGATGGAATGAGTGTCTCAGATGCATTCCTCATGGGTCAACGTTGACTACCAATTTCAAACGTTATGTCCACTTTTGTAACAAATGAGTTCTCTCCAAGACGCACATCCCTCTTACAAAATATATAAGATCTGCCAATCGTAAATCCACTGTTTCTCCAGTAAAATACTTCAGACCTCATAACAGAGCATCAAGGCTTCCACAGTTGAATAAGCACAAGCATTCCATCTCCATTATCTCATTCGAGACCTTGGTTACTTGTCCATGAATAATATCACGTGAAATTGTAAATGAACAGTGTTTGAAATATTCAATTGATTGGGTCAGCGGAATCTCTGCAGAAGAATTAACTGGATTGCAGGGACGCGTGGCCTCTGCGCTCCATTGACAAACAGAGAACTGGAACCTATGAAGAATTTCACGCATCTGTCTATACGTAACCCCCCGTTTTAATAATACGATACAGTAATCTTCAGTAAAGATGGTCTATGCAAATGTCGTCGTGCAAGCCAGTCACTCACTTGAATAGATGAAGAGGCTTCTTATGACATTTGATTATTTAATCCAAAGAGAGCGATGGTTAAATTGACCAAAGGTCATATCAAACAGATCAGAATAGAAAAACAGTACAAATTAATAAAAGAGTTTAGTGAAGCTAAGGAATAATATCAACATGGCTGCCACTGTGTCCACGTGGTATAACACCAAAGTTCCGAGACGACTGCTCTCTTGACGAATGAAGTTCGTCTGTCGCTGGTGTCGTAGGAAAAACTGGAAGCGAAAGACTTCTTCGATGTGTCCCTGCAGGGGTTTGTCTTGTAGCATCAAGCTCAGTCTGACGACGTTGCGTTTGAAGGTGTTGGAGGTCAACACTCGCATGACAGCCGATTCCACCTTCTGCGCCGAAAGGCTGTATCGGTCGAGGTCAACTCCAATTCCTCTGTTGTTTACGATCATCGCATTCACGTGCTGTTCCGCAAATAGTGGCAGGGTCACGATCGGAACACGTGCACAGAGTGCCTCAATAAAACTTTTCAAGCCAACGTGGCTGATGAACAGCACAGTCTTTGGGTGGTTGAGCAACGCCGTTTGAGGTAGCCATTCTCGAATCAGAATATGCTTCGGGATCTGAAACTTTTTCGCAAAGTTCACGCCGCACTGCCATACAAAGCGGTATCGCTTAAGCTTGCTGAAAGCAAGAAGGAATGAGGTGAACACAGCGCTGGGCGCTTTGTCCCACTTTACGTAATGTCCAAAAGCTATGACGACAGTACCCAAGGAATCACGGTCGTTGACAAACGACTCATACTCAGCACTCAGTGGCTCTTCAGAGGGACAAGCCATTTTCGTATTGAAAACGTCCCGAGTCATGGGAGTATCAGGATCTAAGTACGTCGGTTGCATGGTCATTGAAAATAAGCAGTTCGCGTAGAAGCGCTCCAAATGCCCAGCGTCCGGAAAATTGATCCACCAGGGCATAAGTCGATAAGTGGCCTTCATGGTCAGATCGAGCAGTATCATTGACACGAAGTTGATCAACCTCTCTTCGAATGAGGAACTTCGTTTCTTTGGAACGGAGATTCGATAAAGGTGGTACAGCGATCTTGACCACATGGTGCCCTTTGCCTCGTGACTGCCGATCCATGTTTTGCTGGTATCAAAAGCCACGGTGGGAGAGCGATTGCTATTCGCCAACACCATGCCACAAGGGCAGAACAACGCGTCAACCACGATCAGGTCCCAGTGCATTCTCGACACCTGCAGGAACTTCTGTCTGAGGAAATCGTCTCTAAGCACTTCTTCGCAGTGAACTGACGCCCGTTTCCAAGGTACAAAAAATAGCCATGGTTGCATAGTGTCTTTTGTCCATATTCTTCCTGCTTCGTCCGGACGTAACAGAGGACGCGATGTTGGGACGATGAACGTCGTCAGATTGTTCCTGGTCTCTTTTCGAAAAGATCCGTTCTGTTCGTATTGGAATTCCAAGAACGCCACTTCATGTCCGGCAGATGCCAAAGCGCTGCTTATAGGATACATTGACTTCGCATGACTCGCCATCTCATGAGCAGGTACGAACAAAATTCTGTAACTTATGGCCGAACAGATGCACAACAGAAAAAGTAAACTTTTCAATACGAGGCTATGGATGACCATGACTTTTGACACAACCAACAATATGCACTGATCGTGTATCTAGCTAAGTTATGTTATTGTGTCAAGCAGATAAGAACGAGAATATCGCCATGCTTCTTTCAATATTAGTAACATGTTGTGTTGTTGACAAACAGACAAGCATACTGACAAATGACTTCATAACGGACTGCTGTCACTTTTATCACTAATGCGACCTAGTTCCGGTTTCGTTCAATCATACGTGTTTCATCGCAGCGCGTCTGAACAGTACTGCAAGCTGTCAGGTCAACAGAAAGAGACGTGCAGTTTATGTATTCAATATTAGAAAACAAACGGATCTGGTGTCTGAAGATCAGGCGATATTTTAAATCTATTTTAATAGTTAAGATCAGAGATAAATTTACTGCTTTCGTAATTGAGAAGATGTCAAGACGGATGTTCCGCTAGGTGGTTTCGATAAGCTTCGTATGTGCGCATGCAATTTCTTGCTTCTCTCACCAAAACCAGGATCTTAATGCGTGACTTCTGATTTTCTTTCGATTAAATAGTTTTGCTTTGGAATGGTTCCAAGGCTTTCTCATCATATTTATAACTTATTTTCATTAGTGTAGCAGGATGTGCAGGTAACTATGGGTGCCTCCTTTTTTCCGAACACTCATACTCCTGTTGACCAGCCACGGCTGCGGTTAGGGTAAACGAGTTAATGGGAAACGCACTGATTGAAAATGTGAACTGTCTCTGAACTAAGGAATGGAACCTTTGTCGTAGACTTGTGTGGTGTCACCTGTATGTATTCATACTGAAGAATAGGGTTGTAAGTCCTGCAGCAGTGCGTCTCATCCTTAAATGCTGCATATCGCTGTTCATGCGGCCGAGAAATAGAGGAGGACCCTCACCGTAGCAGATCCGCTAAACGCGTTACTGCACTAACGCATCAGATAGGATTAATGCTTTTGGAGAAACCATGCCTGAAGATCCACCTCAGGGCTCCGCTACTTCGGAAGAAACAAGCCCTAAGCACCTCCAGTGCTCCGTCAGGTAAGAGCTGCGTTGGTCTCAAGCAAGAACCAATGGCGAAAGAACGAACCCGATCACCGACAACTTGTATGCAGAGTACTGCAGAAGTTCTGTGGTGATGAACGAGGTTCC